TATTATAGAGTGTCAGAGCGATAGCGAAAGCGATTCCAGTGACTCAGAAGATGAATTATGGGAATCAGTAGCTAACGCGGGTACGTCTTTCAAAACAGAAATTCCTGGAGTTCGGCCGCTTGAACTCCGAGACCACGACCACAATTATTTTTATAAAATATAAATAATATATATAATAACACTAATTCTCACTAATTTTAATATATTAACACGATATTTGTTTTATTTTATATTATGTGTACCTAATGAATATGTAGTCACCTATTTCCTCGGCGAATTTCTTAAATGGCAATAGTAAGCACTCCACTAGCGACTCTGTAAACAGAACAGATAAGTTGGTGGCACTATATTTTATTAACTGGCTTCACGGCTCTGGTTTCTAGACCTTCTGAGCCTATCCTTTCTTTGGGAATCTTCATTTTATGTTCTTTGTCTTCACAATATGCTGATGCGTCACATTGCGAAGCCCTTGGGAGATTTTGATGACAGCTCAACCTAGCGGACAGATGATGACGACAGCCACTCAAGTTCATGAAGCGCCCAAGCGATCAAAAAAACTTGAGGTTTATATCGACATCAAAGCACTTGTTTCGTCGTTTTCTCTAATAGTTCACACGCGCGGACACTTAATTCACAAAATCGCATCACTTTTACGAATCAAAATCCACTTCAAACCATTATTCAAGCGACAAAACAGGAGCGACAATCCGTCTACGGCCAAGTTCCCGCCAAAACTCCTGAACATTTGTATCATAGATAAATAAATATGTAGCAAGATTTGTATCAACGTAGTGAACATGGAGGTTAGAGAGAAGGAGAACGATCGCTGTAGAAAACAGTGTCCCAGAAATATGGACAAAATAAGTGAGGCGCTGCGATTGCTAAGCTGTCTCAATAAAAGAGGGCTGTTGTGCGCTAGTTTGAAATGATCTATCCACGTTTAATATACGTGTATCTAATATTATTCAAAGAAAAAAAAAGAAAATAACGAAATAATTATTATTATTTATTAGTAAATAAATTATAAATCATGTTTTTTATAATTATTACAAATATAAATTATTATTGATTATTACATTTATTTTCTATAAATAAATAAAATAAAAAATTACAGAGCACTTTTATTTTCGATAAAATTTTTACTTTATTATAATGAACTTACCTAAAATAATAATTAAAATTAAAATATTTACGATTAAAACTAATTATATACAATATAAAAGAAGAAACTATAATATAGAAAATCTAAAACTAAAAATTTTAATAGTCAAAAAGACCTGCTCCCCGTGTCAAGAACACTGGCTGCGTTTCCTCGCTGAATAGCTATACTTAACCTTTGAGCGAGGAAAGAACCAGCCCTCTTATCACCAACAGCAACGACCAGTCGTGGATACAGTTCCTTTAGAAATTTCACTGCACGCAGACCCCACGGACCGACAGTCACTACAGCAAATGGCACAAATATGTAGTCATTTCTCAAAGACTCATATTTGCGCCATTTACTAAATTCGGCTGCCTCTGATGCCGACCCAGCTCTAAAAGAGGTACCCTTGAGATGAGAGGCCGCCAAGTGTCAACGCAAGTAGCATCCGACACTAGGGTTTTCTTACCTTTCTCCCAAGGGACCAAAGTCATACCGTCGGGTCTCCTGCCATCGTCTCTAAATATCCCGCAAGGCTCTAAAACCGAGCGGACATTTATGGAGATAAGAGCCCTTCGGATGATTTCGTTCAAAGAACCGTGACGGGAAAACCTACCTGCACTTTTCTTGCATGAAAGTCCGTGGAGCCCAAACTCATCGACGCTGCTACCACAGGGGCACTGGTGAGGTTGACAAATTGCCACTCCTATCCGGTTTCCTACGGCGTCGTCAAGTAATGTGCCGAGATTACTTGATGGTAGAGCATGTAACCAGTGGCTAGATTTCTTAGTCGAAACAGCTAGAAGGCGAGCCTGATCTTGTTGACTGTAGAAATTTTGAAATAAATTTTTCTGGACACTCCGTACCAACAGAATATCCCACTGTTTTTGTTGGTTAACTTCCAGTGGGACATTTTCGCCGGGACAGAGCGTTAGCCATGTTTGCCTTGCCTCCGCAGCAAAGCACAGATCTACTTTATTACTTAAAATTGTGTTAAATAGATCATTGACACTATGCACGGAAGCAAGGAAAGCAGGCAATGCGACGCTAGAAATATTTCTTACACCAATACCACCAAATTTTATAGGTAAAGTGGCTTGATTCCAGGCATTATTATATTTAATCTCAAATTTAGAATTTTTTCTAAAGCAATTTTAAGATTGCTATCAATAACTTTTAAAATATCCGAACATTTTCAGACTGGACTTGAGCGTAACAAGTATGTAAATTTAGGTACAAGGAGACAATATTTTAAAATGATAAGGGCAATATGGGGGTTTAAAATATATAATTTATCAACGTGATTTAAAAATTGATCAAATTTTGTTTTTAAAACAGGTTTAATACTATCGAAAAACAACGGAGCACCGAGCAGGTAAAGCGATTCCGAATTGACAGTTTTTATTCCTGGAGAAATCTGATTGAAATTTTGAATTAAGGTATCTCTGTTAGAATTAGATAAATTATTAGAAATAAATATTTCACATTTATTGGTATTTGGTTCAAGACCAATATTTTTAAAATTTTGAAAAATATGAGTAAGATCATTAAGGACGTCATCTGCTTCACCTCCCGGTGTACCGTCGTCCAGATATCAGACATTCAGCTTGGATTTTAAATTTGAAATAATAGGTTGAATTCCCAAACTGAAAAGAGCTGGACCTAATGGATTACCCTGCTGAACACCGAAAGCAGACTCAATAATATGGTTTTGATAAAACAAGTTTGAATTTTGACTGTAACATTGCCAAACGTAATGATATATTTCGGGGGTATTGTTAGCCACTTCTTTCAGCAGGGTTATCCTATCAATAGAGTTAAAAGCATTTCTAAGATCAACCTTCAGAAGAACATCTGCATTGGAATTAGTTAAGAAAGTACGCACCGAATGTACCGCCGCCTCACCTTTGGTGCCAAAGCCTAGTTGAGTAGATTGAAATTTTGTCTTAAGTTTTGAGATGCCTGCAAGCTAATTTTGAAGTTAAGCGTCGAAATGTAGAACCAACAGCAATAGGACGGATACCGTTATCCTTTATTTTTTGGAAGGCACACAATCTTGCCCCATATAAGTAGGGAATGAAATTGGGATTGATATTACCAGAAAGCATAAAATTACATAATTTTGTAATGTCATTAAGAAGTACCCTACCGGCGTCACCAGCAGATACGCTTACAAGATCTTTGAGATACTGAGGCCTAATCCCGTCAATGCCGCCGGCAGAGCCATTCGAAAATGACAATATTGCGTCTAAAGTGTCTTTTTCAGAAATTTGTAAAGGTTGCATAGAAGTATTGGAAGGCAGCGATAAATTCTGTGAAGGATTGACCGAAGGATGATTCTGACGAAGGCCTTCAAGAGTTTCGACATTACGAGGAGCGAGGATATCATCTGAGAATAGAATACGGGATGCATTTTTTAAGTCGCCGTCCATTACTTTTGATTCAACTACTTTTTTAAATCAAATTTAGGATAAGGTCGAGAGAAATGAGTATTAATTGGGTAATCCAAATTTTGAAAAGAATTTTCTTTTAGTTGAGACGTAATTGATTTATTTATTGTTTTATTAAAATGGGAATACGCGAATGTAAATAATTTTTGCCAACTCTTTTCACAATTCGTTAGACAATTTTGAATAGTGAATGATAATGCTTTAGCAAGTTGCATCTTCGCACCTCTGGGAATTCTTTTAACCACTGGTACGTTACTATACAAATTGTATAATTGTTCCGAAAAAAGTGAAGAATTTGCGTCATTAGGTATATTACCAGAAGAGTCATGAATTTCTACGGTAGGCTGTGAAGCCGAAATACTTTTACTATGGCATCGTTTAATGTGTATATTTAATCCCTTTTTACCTTTAAACAGCCTACCGTCGGTACAATTTTGATACCGTAGGAAATTCGGCTGTGAATGTATCAGAGCGATAATATTCAAAGAAAAAGTAAAGAATTAAAAATTTAAAAATATATCGACAGCACTCAAAAGTCTATAATTTAGTATAAATCAAAATCTTGAAAATTAAAAAAAAAACCTAGTTCTCGAGCTTTGTTTATCGCCTTGAAGCAATCTAATATTAATACTGTGTACGATGAATCCCCAGGCGTTGTTTTCTTGGGATCAGAAGAAGTGTAGTGAGCATTGATTTTGTTATTTTGACGTTGTTCTATTTTCTCATTTAATATTTCTTTAAAGTTCTCCCTGGCAACATTGTTGCAAAATAAAATATATTCTTGGTGTATTCGGCCATCGTTATTTCATGTCATCACTTCAGGCAAACGAACTTGTAAATATATTATCACATATTCATTAATGTTGTAATATATTATTTACACAAAACATTATTTTTCGGAATCTCAGGAATAAAATATAAATATATTTTAATTAAAATATTTGGTTAAAATATAAGACAGTTGTCACCTGTCACTTTTCTTTTTTCTATTAAATTTAAACATTATTCAACTAACTTCATCTACTTGTACTCATAAACAGGTAGCTTCGCAGATACAATATACCGACGGCAACGCGGCTATAAATTCTACAAATTTTCAGGGACAGGCGGGCTATGCTTTAGCACGTAGCGATCGTTCTCCTTCTCTCTAACCTCCATGGCAGTGAATATATACTCTTTGATTTTTGTCAAGCAATTTCTATTCTATATTCTTTACTCTTTGCTCTTTGGATTAGTTGTTTTTTTTAGTTCTAAGACTCGCAATGAAGTGTCAGACGTGTCCATAATAAATACAAATCTTCTTTTAGTTATTCGTAATGCTTTCAGCACTTTTATAATTGTTTCATTACAATTTTCGATTATGTTAATTTCGTGTGATATTTTGTTTGATCTAAATTCACCGCTGAAATATGGAGGAGGTGAGTTCGGAGGTTACCATATTTTTGTTGTGACAATAATACGTGATGATTTTGCAATCGTTTTCACTTTCAGGATCTTAATGAGAATGAGTTAGAAGAACGGTTTTACTCTATGCTACATTATGTAGACGAATCACAAGCGAATGTGGCCACCAACCATAAGGATGTTAACCACATTGTGGACAACATACCGCAAAGCACTGTGCGCCGTTACTGGCGTACAAGTGGTGATCAGGCATTACAGAAAGTTAACGCTGCTAAAGATTCCAATCTGTCTATAAACAAATCCTCAGTTTCGGAGAATGCAAAGACCAAAGAGGAGAAACATCAACCTACACCTCCGTTATCTGCAGATTTGTCAATATTCCAATCACCAGTGCCACAGTACATAAAGAAGAGCATAGAGATATTAGAAAATGATGAACCCTCTCATGTTGTGGAACTGGAAACAAGTGATGAAGATGAAGTTATTGAGGTTCAATTGCCACCAAAGCCTACCATTACCATTGATAGTTCAGATGAGGATGAAATTTCTGAAATATCTAAGATCAACGAGCTTAAAGACAAAAATAGTAACAGAGCCCCAGAAAATAAAATAAGCACAAATAGGGGTGATAGAGAGGTTTCAGCAAGTCCTGTTCCTTCAATTGTTTCATCGGTTTCTGATGAATTTATACGTGGTGACTGTATTGCACTTAACATCTCCTCCAAACGTCCAAATAATCATAGTTTTGACTTTAGCCTTCATGGCTCTGACATCATGGACGAAAGTACTCCCCCTAAAAAGAAAAAAAAGAAGAAAAACAAAGAGGCTGCAACATCTACCCCAGTAACAAGCACGCAAGCATCTGTAGCTACTGTGCCTAAAGAAGGAGAATACTTTGCAACACCCAAAAGTAAAGCCAGAAAAAAGAAACAGAAAAAAAATTATTCAGTATCTGAAAAGAGTATTCCAAATGCCGATGTTTATGATTCAGATAGTAATCAGTCTACAATTGACCTGGATAAAAATCATGGTTCTTATAGTGTAACAGAGAAGAGTTTTCCAAGCACAGATGTTTATGAATCTGATTCCAATCAATCGGAAAAAACAAGCCCTGCCAAACAAAACCAAAAAGGAATGGAATCTGATATTTGTACAACTTCTGATAGTAGCATTTGTTTAGAAAAACATGACAGTATCGAACAGTTGCCTAAGGCACCAAAACAAAATAGCACTTTAACACAACAACAAGATTTACCAACTGTAGATTTGACAGACACTACTTTAGACCAGACTGTTATCAATGAAAACATTGTTATGGCAAATGTAACAGGTTTTCCAGAACCAGAAGAATCGGGGGTCATTGACATTACACCTGAAGGTGATGCAACTAGATTTGGTTCCACAAAAGTACCTGCCATTTTGTATGAAGATCTTGATTTTGATAATTTGAAGGGCAAAGATAAAGTGTGTAAAAAACGCAGATATTCTTTGACAACTCTTCGTGCCGAAATGGAGAAATTCTATAATGAGAGTTGGGGTGGAGAAAATTTCAATCATCGTGAGATACAAAAAAATATGTCCCGTACGTATGAATATGTTCAACAAAGTATGTAAACTTGTAGTGGGTAAGATAAGATATACATTTATAATGTAAATGTGCCGCTTACAACTCTGATGATAAGTTGTAGCTACTATAGTACTTTTTGTATCACTTATAATCAGGCGCCATGCTAAAGGAACTAAACATCTAGGCTAACATTTAGCCTAGGTTCAGAGCTAACTGGTTCTCATTCATTTATTCATTACATCCCTTCACAAGTCCTACTTACTACTGAACACAGGCCTCCCCCAAGAATTGGCACAAAGCACGGCCTTGAGCCACCTCCATCCATTGACTTCCTGAATGTATTACTAGGTCTTACTCACTCCCATCTATTGAGGGGGCCACTCTACACATTGTTTACCTGTAGGAGGCTGCCACACAAAAATCTTTCTTCCCCATTGGTTGTCAGTTCTTCAAGCTATATGGCCAGCCGTTTGCCACTTCAGCTTACTAATCCGTTAGCTATCATGTTAATTTAGTAAAATAACAACAGCTCCATAGTGTAATAAAGGTTTTCAATTTTTATTCATCTGTGATTATGCCAATGTCTCCACAGCTTTGAAACATAGATCTGCAGGTCTATTATCTAATAGCATATAGGAAAGTCACTATAGTCTGCGTTATAGCATGGTGTGGGTGACAGCTTACAGTTAGGCATGTCTAGAGATGGAACAATGTTATATGGATTTTAAAAAGGCGATTAATACACAAAGCAAAGCAAAAATTATCGATTAGCTATCGATATAAAAATTAAAACCGAAACATATTTCTTTATAAACTATAATGCATTTAAAATTAAGTTAAAGTTTAATACACATTATGACATCATTTGTAGTTACATAATACTGTTTCCGCGACCTCGCACGCATGTTGTTTATTACGATTGGATTTTGTAGGTTTATATTTTTTTTGCGTGGAATCCTAATTAATTTTCTAAAATAAAAGAAGCCTGTGTTACTCCTTATAACATCAGCTATCTGCTAATGTAAACTATAAGCTGGAACAAAGAGACAGACAATTTATTTTAAAAATTGTATTTGTCTTTTGTCAAAAATACTGTATAAATTTTCATATGCATTTAGTAAAAGGCTGGTATTTGGAAATTACAAACAAACACTTCAATGTATAACTATAAATATGTATTAATATGAAAATAAAAATCAACTTATATTTCATGTTAATTGCAACGTTCATATTAATATTTAAACAAATAAAATGGCTGCCAGCATCCATAATTTTCAGTACGGTGTTGACTGCACCGGTAGCTTTTCAAGGTGGGCTAAATATCAGGACGGAAGGTAAAAATTATCGAGAATTTGGTTTTCAAATCTAATGTTATAAAAATACAAAATGCATTTTCGTAGCCAAGTCTTTTTGACACATTTATAATTATTCTTATCGCCTGTGCTGACCAATGAATAATTTATCGTCCATGTATTGGAAACACTGCATATTCGTCCCATGTGCATTTTTTCTTTAAATCAAAATTTGTTGAACGATTAGTTACAATTTCAATAAATATTTACATGATTTGTATATATTCAATTTATTTCAAAATTGATTCTTGATAGTCTTGTGGTTGTGTCATATGTCATGGCATAGTTTAGCGTGCCACATCACTCTCGTAAGTAGGCGGTACCCATCCATGAAATACAACAATATCTGTATGACAGATTATATAAAAAAATACGAAACTTCATAGACAAGAACTGTCAATTGCACACCATGCTACAACGCAAAGACGTAAGTGCATTGCATATGTTTTACAAGTTATGGTAGCTTTCATAGAAAAGTTTTATAGTGTACAACATGATGTACTACAAAGTTACTACCATTATGATGTCAATAAGTAAGCAAAAAGTCCTGCAAATCTATGAGTGTACACACAACTTAAATTATGTATTATATTAACTAGAATATTATTAATGCAAGTGTAAAAATAAGTGCAAGTAATTGTTTTTTTCAATGTGATAATTGTATGGATATATTGCTGTTGACAAACATTACAACTGCTAATAATTAAACAATCTAAATATTACATATTAACACCGTTATCTTTGAGATATCAACCATAATCATTTTTAAATAATAGAGTATTTTCCACCATGTATAAAAAATACATTTATGTTAGATTTTGTAAAGTTATTGAGAAATATTGATTTCTATTTATAAAATTGCATTATAAATTTTATATTTTAATTTTAAGAAATTTTTTATCGTCTGTACTTCAAGTCATCAAAACGCTGTCCGCCATATTATACAATGTCGTGACGTCACTGATCCCACTTAAGGGTATTAGTGTTCTGTGTCACTGATTAAGAGAACTAGCTAATGTGCTGTGTTATTTCAAAATTTTTTAAGTTATCATTATGATTATTGAGTTTTATTCCAAATTTTATTGAAAAGGCATCATGGAAGATGAATATGTAAAAGCAGAAAGTACTAATCTACCAAGGATAAATAAATTGATGGTGGTAAAATTTTTTGCATGCAATCCCAATTTTTGTTCTGCTGAGTTGAGGAATATTAAAACATCAATGTAAGTACTTATTACCAACTTTTGTTTATACAAAAACACAATACCAGGTCAGAGTGTATTTTGATAAAACATAGTTGAGTAGCTATCATAGTTTATTTTATCTATAATTACAATCATTATCAATAGGTAAGATTATAATATCTAAGTTAAAGTAATAATAATAATTTATTACAAAATTTGACTTGTGATACCCTTCACCTCATGATATTTTGTTTTGTATAAACATTAGTTAAATATAACTAATACTTACATCAAAATGATCTCCACAGAAGAGTAGTCTAGGTTTTGTAGACAATGTAGTGAGGTATCTTCTTTTCAGTTTTAACCAAGTATTGACCAGTTGGCACTTGAATCCATAACTTTCCCAGCGTTTTCATGCTCGTATTTTTGCATTCAGGCACAACACAACAATGATATAGATGATACCTCATTATTAAACATTAAAAAGTATTTAATTATTAATTTTTAATTTAATGTGAAATATCTTATTCCTTTTGCAAAATCGACATTATTCTGGGACAGTCATGTCACGAACAACATGGCGGCTAATATTTTAAACGATAGATTAAAAGTAATTTTTAAGGCACTATTCGGTTTTAAAAAAATATATAAAAATTATAGTGGTTCATTTATGGTTCTCTAGGATTCACTTAAAGAACTTTTTGAAAATGGGTGTAATTTATTTTTTTGTTTAGTAAGAACAGTATAAAACATACTCAGTAATGGGATGCATGTAGACTGTTACTTTGTTTTAAATAATAAAGTGTAATAAATATTTGTGAAAAACATGTTTCATGGAGATCATACTAAGATTAAATTTCTTTCTAGGTGACAAAAGTTTATGGGTTATTGACCCCAAAGATAGAATGCCAGGATTATCAAGAAGGAAGCCAACGTAAGTTAATCTTTTTTATCTTAGAAGAACAATTAAAAAATGGAATTAGGCTTTATTCGAATCAAAAAGATAGTGTTATTATACATCAAAAGAAGGCCATGACAATCTGTCAATAGCACTATTGAAAAGTACAAAACAAAACATTCATGATATGAACATTACATGATAGAGTGACAAACGAGCACACAGTCTACCTGATGGTAAGTGGTTGCTGTGGCCCATAGGCACCTACATGTGTCCTCGATTACGAATCAAAATGCAGATGCGTTGTCACCCATGAGGACAAAGATGGAATGCCTCATTTCCAGTAAAAAGGTTATCCGGTTCTCTACACTCACCATACGTAACACAGCAGCATTAAGCTACTATTTATGCTGGTATTCTGTGAAAGCGTGGTCCTTCCCCGGTTGAGCCGACCCATTCGTACTACAACTATACTACTAATATAACTGCAGCATGACTCTACCAGATATAAAACTTTTCCAGTATATTCGTGCAGGCGCGTGGCACGGAGAGCAGCCGCAGCACTTGACGTGCCATTTACATACATATCCGTCTGGAACACAGATCAATCTGCACTAATATGTCACTGTTATATATTTTTCCTCTAAGCATTTTAAAAATATATAAGGCAAATGAGAGGTCCATTCTTACCCACAACTTGTTGTAGCCAACCATACTCAGAATAAAGTTGGGTACATAGGGTAAACCCCATAATAGCTCATATAAAGATATCTAATAAATTTATTTTGGACACGTTCTAGCATTGTACTATACCTATTTTCGTGTGGCAACTATATTACGGCGTTACACTCTAGATTACTTCTTACCAGTGTATTATACAGGAAATGCGTATTACACAGTAAATAAGCACGATAGACTTATTCATATAATAAAATCGTTAACAGTTTTTGGCGTAGGGTTAGCGGTGTATTGTCTGCTCGCTAAGATAGTGTCGGTACATGTGATGTGATGTGTTGGTACAACCGCAGGTGCACATATTAATTTGCTTTTATTTTATTATCTATTACTGTTTGTTAAATAAATATGTTTCTGTTCTAAGAATTAAATATAATACTATATTATTCTAATGGTTAAATAATAATAATAATAAACACTCACGCCTGTCACCCAGAGGGGTAGGCAGAGACTACAGACTTCATTTGGCACGATCCTGACACACCTCTCTCGCCTCCTTCACATCCATACACCTACGCATACATGCTCGTCGGTTAAGGGTACTCCTAATTTGGCCCATTTTCAATAAATCGCCAATTTGGTCGATAAATTTTCGCCTAGGACGTCCCTTTCCGACTCTGCCATTCACTTCTGCAACATAAATTTTCTTTGTCACTCTTTCCTCATTCATTCTTTCCACGTGACCAAACCACCGAAGCATTCCTTTCTTAATCCTGGTCACAACATCATCTTGCAAACCACACTCTTCTCTTATTACACAATTTCTTACCCTGTCGTTCAGATTCAGCCCTAACATACTCCTTAACGACCGCATTTCTACTGCGTTCATTCTACTCTCGTGCTTCTTCTGCCACACCCAACTTTCACTACTATACGTTAAAGTAGGGACCAACACAGCATTGTGAATTGCCATACGTGCCTTTTTTGACACATTTTGACTCTTCACAATAGAGTGCAGGGCCCCATTTACTCTATTTCCCGCATTCACTCGTCGTTCTATATCCTTATCATATCTCCCATCCCTGCTAAATACGCAGCCCAAATATACAAACTCATCTACTTGCTCGATCAACTCCCCTTTTATTCTTATTTCACAAATCGTTTTACTTTCTTCTCTTTCAAAAACCATAACCTTCGTCTCACTTGCGTTCACTTTCATACCCCTTTCTTTTAATGATCTATTCATTAATGTAACCATCGTTTGCAACTCGGCCGCCGACGACGCAAGATAACTTGATTCCTCAAAAGGCATTTGACGGTTAACTCACCCATTCTTAATCCGCATTCTTCAACTTTCAAATTTTGCAAACAACTGTCCATAAATAGGTTGAACAGCCACGGGGAAGCCACACAGCCCTGTCTGACACCTTTATAGATGTCAAACCAGTCCGAGTAGACCCCGTTGATCCTAACACAAGCACTAGAGTCCCTATAAAGGGACTCCAATGCCTGTATCAAGCCAGCGCTCAACCCAAATGAGTTAAGTGTTTGCCATAGCACATCCCTATCCACTCTGTCATAGGCCTTTTCCAAGTCCATGAACGCACAAAAAACCTTTTGGTTTTTGGCCAAAAACTTCTCCGCGATCATGCGCATGGAAAAGACTTGATCTGTACATCCCATTCCCTTTCTAAATCCCGCTTGCACATCCCAAATTTTTCCATCAATTTCTTTCATGACCCTTTCAATCAGTACCTTAGCATACAGTTTTCCCACAATGCTAAGAAGGCTGATGCCACGGTAGTTTTTACGGTCCTGCTGCGACCCTTTTCCTTTATATACTGGGACTATCACGGCTTTGCACCAGTCTACCGGTACCCGCTTCAGTTCCCAGCATAAATTAAACAAGGTGTTCAGCAGGCCTGCCACAACTTCCTCTCCAGCCCTTAGCATTTCGAGTGAAACTCTATCATATCCGGCAGCCTTACCTGCTTTCATGCTTTTCATTGCTTTCATTATTTCATCTATACTTATCTCGCTACCTCTTTCCTCTTCTTTCGGAGTTTCTACTTCACTTAGTACACACGTTGTCTCCTCACTCATAAACACGCTTTCAAAATATTCCTTCCATCTCTTTAAACTCAAAACTTCATCATTCAAAATATAGCCATTCTCGTCTCTTATAGCATTCATCTTAGGCTATTTTGAATGTCCCCTGGCAGTTCTTACAAGTTTCTAGAACATTTTATTATTTGACTGGAAGTTATCCGATATTCTTCTATCATTCTTATCCGTTCTTTCTTGCTTTTTTCTTTCAACTACTTCTTTTACTCTCTTATTAAGATGTCTAAAGACTGCCTATTTTCTTTCAATATCATCATTCGTACCGCTAGAATTACCAGCCTTTGTTGCTAGTAAATCTAGCCATGCTCTCTTCTTTGCTTCAACTTCCATACGTATCTCATCATCCCACCATAACGTATTATTTTTCCTTTCATTCTTTCTCTTACTAACACCACATACTTCGGTAGCTGCATCCACTAAACCTTTCTTTACGTTTTGCCATACATTTTCCAAGTCTAACTCCTTCATACATAATTCATCCAAACCACTTATATTTTCTTTCAGTCTACATTTGAACTTGTTTTTCTCACCTTCGTCTTGTAACCTTTCTGTTCTAATACGCGTTAACGCAGTGGTAGACACAGATGATCGATGGCGCCAGCGCCTGAATAGACCACTAATTCGGCATAAAACCAAATAATGATCCGTTCCTACGTTAGAACCCCGGTAAACCCTTGTATCTACCACTGCGCCCCTCAATCTTTCATCCACAATTATGAAATCTATCATGCTTCTATCGTCACCTCTTTCCCAAGTATACATGTGAATCCTCTTGTGGCGAAAGCAAGTGTTCGTCACAAAAAGATTATTTTCCATACATACGGTGAGGAGACTTTCACCATTCTCATTTATACTTTCATCACCAAACGTTCCCAATATACTTTCATAACCAAGCCTCCTCACCCCAACCCTTCCATTAAAATCTCCTAGCATAATAATATTTTCATTTCCCTTATACTTCATTAACACCATCCTTACCATTTCCCAAAACTGCTCTCGGATATAAGTGGGCTTAGACATGTCTGGGGCGTAGACCCCTAACACAAACAACTTCTTTAAGCCCACTTTCATTCGTATCCATAGCAGTCTTGGGCTTACACATTCATACTCTTTCACACATTGGACCATTCTTTCTGAAAGGATGTGATACCTATTCCCTGGCATGCCCGCTCGATCTCGTCTACACCAGACCAGTATGCGGTATACATGCCATGTATAGTGACATCCTTTCCCCTTCCTTTTCGTCTCATTTACACATAACACATCTATTCCTCTATCATACATCATATCGCATACTTCATCCATTTTATCATTCATTGCCCCACATACATTCAACGTAGCCAGACGGGCCTCTGCAATCCACTTTTTGCCTCTCCGGGAGACAGAACGTGACGGGTGGCGAACCTCGTCGCCGGTTTTCCTCCCGGAGATTCTTCGCACCCCTGCCCCATTAAAGGGGCGCCGGGAACTCGGGGCCATTTCTTTTATATGGTTCCTCATGGTGCGAAATATGGGGTAGTATATTTTACGCCGCTACCACGGCGTGGAGCCGAGTCTGTGGTATTGGCTTGTCGCTCATTTAGCACCACCCGGGGGGCACGTGTAGGGTGGACCTAGGAATAGGTGGTCAAAGCCTACGGACGCGAGCGACTTATCCCCCCTAATGGTTACTGTGATAAAATACGAATGTAAATTATAAACACGAGTAAGGTAGCAAAGAACCTTTCACTGCGGCGCTTTGTTTTAAAATGCTTAATAGGCATGCCGATTTGAGATCCATTAATCGAAATTTTTTTAAATCGATGTATAGTACTGAATCGATACAGTGAATCTCCATTTCACCCTAGAAAATCGAGATCGAATCTTTTTCTGTTTTTATAAGAACTATAAAATTATTTACCATTAGTTGAATGTACCCAAACTCGTAAAAAATGACAGTTTTTCTATTCAACAAAACTCGCAAAACTGCTGTGTACTCTGTTTCTTTCGTCTCTTCTTAATTGATTAAAGTAATAAAAATAAGTTAATTTGTAATCTGTACTTTGTTGTATATTTTGATAATGTAAATATAAACTTTGAAAGCAAATCGAAAAAAGATCGACCAAAAGATCGATTCGATCTCGATTTTTTTTGTGGATCGATTCATGAGATTTCGATTTGAATCGATTCAAAAAATCGATCTTTTCGGAAAGAATTGACATCCCTAAATCTAAATTCTCCTGTGTACACTGCCCGCGGTGACTTGATGTCGCGGCGGCGCCTTTGACAAGTTGCGGCACGTGCTTCACAAAGACGACCATATTTAAACGAACAGACTGTTTAGTGCCTTTATTTTTATTTATTACATACAATAATTATTATAGGCTGCTAACTTAACTGTGATTGCGTAATTTATAGCAACGAAAACATAAAATTTCTGTATTGTTTCAGCTGTAACTACTGCAATCGTCCTGGGCATCGAGATGATATGTGTCGAATGAAACCGCCTGTTTGTTACATGTGTGGCTCTACAGGCCATTATGAACCGCGCTGTCCAAGAAAAATTTGTGTTAATGTAAGTTGCCTTTGCACTGGACCTAAAATACCAGAACCTTATTAGTGCGAGACATCTGGTATTACTAAGCCCGCCAAGTGTGACGATTAAGGTAAAATCTCCCTCAACAGATGCCCAGAGCTGTAGACTTACAGGCTGATGATGAAGTAGAAGTTACTTTTTATCTTAACTGATACTTTCGTTTCCAATAATTACGCATTGAATTAGCAAAACAATTCCGACCTTATAGCCCTTACAATTAACATTGAAAATAAAAGTATGTAATTCTATCCATAAATTTATGAAATATGTCTGCATTCATTCTTACATCATAATTCATTACAGGCTACATACTAGGCAGGCAGATTGGAAACCACAGTTTTTATATTATTTTCAATTGTTATCTAGAAGATGCCAAATGGTGCTGCCCACCTTCTTCAATTTACCTCTGTCACCTATTGCAACACCCACGGGATGATATGGGCTATGGGCTTGCATTCTCTTACACCGCCGTACATGGCAAAATCACTACAGTAAAATTTTAACCTTCAAGCTTATTTAAAAGACTTAATCAAATTACAAATAAATGACGACTTTATGGCTTTGAATTAAGGCACAAAGTCATCATTTATTAGTTTTATAGTATGTACAGTTTTGAATTTGATTTGAAAAATTACCTTAAAAGTAAAACCAAACAAGAAAATGCGTACATATCAGGGTTATTTTTGAAACGCTCACGAAAACGAAGACAGACGATAGTACCAACGATACCTTTGGATTTGGGACTAAAAGATAATGAATCCTTCGTTTTCTTGAGCGTTTCACAAACACCCGTTATATATAAACCCATATATATATATATATATATATATATATATATATATATATATATATATATATATATATATATATAATGGGAAAAATTTGGGATGTGCAAGCGGGATTTAGAAAGGGAATGGGATGTACAGATCAAGTCTTTTCCATGCGCATGATCGCGGAAAAGTTTTTGGCCAAAAACCAAAAGGTTTTTTGTGCGTTCATAGACTTGGAAAAGGCCTATGACCGAGTGAATAGGGATGTGCTATGGCAAACACTGAAGTCATTTGGGTTGGGCGCTGGCTTGATACAGGCATTGGAGTCCCTTTATAGGGACTCTAGTGCTTGTGTTAGGATCAACGGGGTCTACTTGGACTGGTTTGACATCCATAAAGGTGTCAGACAGGGCTGTGTGGCTTCCCCGTGGCTGTTCAACCTATTTATGGACAGTTGTTTGCAAAATTTGAAAGTTGAAGAATGAGGATTAAGAATGGGTGAGTTAACCGTCAAATGCCTTTTGTACGCCGATGATCAAGTTATCCTTGCGTCGTCGGCGGCTGAGTTGCAAATGATGGTTACATTAATGAACAGATCATTAAAAGAAAGGGGTATGAAAGTGAACGCAAGTAAGACGAAGGTTATGGTTTTTGAAAGAGAAGAAAGTAAAACGATTTATGAAATAGTAGAAGGGGAGTTGATCGAGCAATGTAGATGAGTTTGTATATTTGGTCTGTGTAATTAGCAGGGATGGGAGATATGATAAGGATATAGAACGACGAGTGAATGCGGGAAATAGAGTAAATGGGGCCCTGCACTCTATTGTGAAGAACCAGAATGTGTCAAAATAGGCACGTATGGTAATTCATAATGCTGTGTTAGTCCCTACTTTAATGTATGGTAGTGAAAGTTGGGTGTGGCAGAAGAAGCACGAGAGTAGAATGAACGCAGTAGAAATGCGGTCGTTAAGGAGTATGTTAGGTCTGAATCTTAATGACAGGGTAAGAAATTGTGTAATAAAAGAAGAGTGTGGCTTGCAAGATGATGTTGTGACCAGGATTAAGAAAGGAATGCTTCGGTGGTTTGGTCATGTGGAAAGAATGAATGAGGAAAGAGTGACAAAGAAAATTTATGTTGCAGAAGTGAATGGCAGAGTCGGAAAGGGACGTCCTAGGCGAAAATTTATCGACCAAATTGGCGATTTATTGAAAACGGGCCAAATTAGGAGTACCCTTAACCGACGAGCATGTATGCGGAGGTGTATGGATGTGAAGGAGGCGAGAGAGGTGTGTCAGGATCGTGCCAAATGGAAGTCTGTAGTCTCTGCCTACCCCTCTGGGTGACAGGCGTGAGTGTTTATGTATGTTTATGTGTATATATATATATATATATATATATATATATATATATATATATATATACACATAAACATACATAAATATATATATATATATATATATATATATATATATATATATATATATGTACGCATTTTCTTTTCATGAAAGCAGGTAATTATAATTCTAAGGAGTCGTCCAAATTTGCAACGAGCATACGATGCTATTTCGTCGCACAACGAGATTAAACACACATATTTCTTTAGAATGTCCAATACTTCAGTACGAACATTCATAATCAATACAAATCTCTTTTGAGTGTACTAATTGGTCACGCGTCATCGCGCGAGAGCAGCTACGCAGGTGATGAGGGACGAGAGCTTTTTATTTAAGCATTTAATTAATAACACCCAAACATACACATTACATTTGGATTTAATTATTTTTCCCCTTTTTATTTCGTTTTGTTTTTATGTTAAGAAATTAATTATTTTTTCATTTGTACTTTATTTTTACTTGTTGCTAACCTATACTTGTCTAGCCGACACTGATTTTGTGAAGAGCGCTGACTTCTATGATACAGGCCCTGCCCAGTTTAGAAGTTAGAAAGGTCCTAATATAGTCTTAGATGTCATATTTAAATTAGGAATGTATTTTAATATTGATTAAAACTACTTTATCGGATTTTATCGCGTTTATTTTACTATTATTTTTAATTCCCGACGTTTCGGGCGCTTTCCAGCACCCATGGTCACTTGGGACTGAGATGACTGACGTCCCGATGTCATTGTTAAACCCAGAGTACCTTCAGCTTTTTTAATTATTGTTTATGGTCCGATCTATGCAAAATGAACTGACTATGTCCTGAGGTCTTGCAGTGGTATCATCCTTGGTAGGAATCGGTTTTCTTTCGCGAGGATTTGTGGTCTATCAAATCTGATGTAATGGTTGGGGCCGTCTAGGATATGATCGCAAACTACAGACTTCCCGGAACGTTGATGCTTCACATCAGCTATATGTTCTTTTACGCGGGTTCTAATTGATCTTTTTGTTTGTCCTATATAAGAGAGACCACATTCATCATATCCTAGACGGCCCCAACCATTACATCAGATTTGATAGACCACAAATCCTCGCGAAAGAACACCGATTCCTACCAAGGATGATACGTGAGGCTATTGAATTTAAAAAACATCCTAATTTCAATAGATAATGAGGCTGGGTACTACCACCTGCTTGGGATCCTATAATCAATAAAATTAAAACTAAACCCAAGCATACCACTGCAAGACCTCAGGACATAGTCAGTTCATTTTGCATAGATCGGACCATAAACAATAATTACAAAAGCTGAAGGTGCTCTGGCTTTAACAATGACATCGGGACGTCAGTCATCTCAGTCCCCCGTGACCATGGGTACTGGAAAGCGCCCGAAACGTCGGGAATTAAAAATAATAGTAAAATAAACGCGATAAAATCCGTAAAAGTAGTTTTAATCAATGTGTAGTGTTCGCGTAAATATAAGAAATCATTATGTATTTTAATATTTAATTTATGTAAATTCATTGTTATGCAGTAACAAATTATTATTATTTCAGTGTGGATCTCCAAACCACATGTATACCACAATGTGTCGAAATTGCTCGAATTGGAACAATATAAGATGTGCCGAATGCGGACAGATTGGCCACCCTTCAAGCCATTGCCCCGATTTGTGGCGCCGCTATCATAATACGGTGAGATAGTTCAATTTTTCTTGAAAAAGAAAATACAAACAAGAAAAAAAAATTCCGCTTAGCTTTATCATTCATATCTGATGCAATAAATTTGTTTAATTATTATTTACAGATCACCTGTAATACGCCATTAGAGGAGAATCGTCAAACGAAAAAACATTACCAAATGTTTTGTAGTGGCTGCGCTCGACGTGGTCACCTGGTACACACTTGCCGCCTGTCCCTACCATTTTCGGGTCTACCGATAAATTCCCCCTATGTTTCTTTATATCATCCCATATACTTTTCAACAAATGAAAATACCAATCCATTTGATAACAATACACCTCAAAGAAACCGACAATTTAATCGTTATAATACACAAGATTCAACCATTTCTTCGGCAACAATACAACATCGAAATGATAGAAACAAACGACAGTCAAATTCGCCAATTTGTCATGAAAGCCATGTTAATAAAAAGAGAAACACATCTAATTCCGAAGAAACTGACTTGCGGCGTAACACAAAAAGTCCAAAAAATCATGGTTCTGAAAGGAAAACGTCGCAGAACTTTGATCATAATGAAGATACAAACAAAATTGCAAAAGAAACTAATAAATTATTAAATAACAATAGTGAACCGCATAAAACAACTAATACTGAAATAGAAAAAGCATCAGATTTCATTCCACTATCATCTACTAACCATGACAAAAAGGGACAAATTATTCAAGATAATGAAGTCTCAGATACAAGTGACATTGTAACATCTGCAAGAATTTACATTACTAACGATATTATCGAAAAACTTAAAACGAAAGATGGAGAAGAGTGGTTAAAGAAATCTACACAGAAAAACAATGTAACTCTACAAACTACAGATTTCAATTTGTTTATAGGCATTTTAGGAAAAGTCGCTGATCAAGAGGCTTTTCAGGCTGAACTTAGGGATTGGATTAAGAGCAAAGAAAATACTGGTAATGTTAAATCTGGTAATGATTTAGAAATCACGAAAGAGATGACAAATGAAGAAGCTGTACTGTGCAATAACATACCACGGAATAGATGCAATGTTTTGAGAAAAATTAACAAGGCATTAGAATTGTTAAAAGAAGATTTAGGTGATCCTAAAGACATTTATAAAGAGTTAACTTATCTTCAAAATCATCATCAACAACTTCTTAAACAAAAAGAGGTCAGTCCGAAGCAGTTGTCAAATAATCGTGACAACATTAATGATATGTTAAAGAAATTAAATATGGTGCTTATTGGTCAAGCTGGTCTTGCCGATGGTTCAAAGCATTTAAGCGAATTATATTCTCTTCAAGAAAAACTTACGAACTTCAGACAAAAGTATATACCTCCTCAAATGCGAGAAGAAATAGGGCAACATTATCATTGTATATTTACTGCAATCCCCCGAAAGGACTATCAAGAGTTGCTCAATAAATATTATGTGACTAAATCAAAGCCAGTGTTGCTTAGAAAGAAAAAGAACGATAAATCTATAAGACTTAGTCCAGCAGTCCATGCAAAAAAGAAGTTTGCCAAGAATTGGCATAAAAAAAGAAATGACGCAGGTCTTAACGGAAGTAATGAAATAATTGAGGATAATAATGCCGTCGCTAGGAATCCTTTCGTTGAGCAAACGATAAATAGGTTAGTGTTTTATCACAGAAGACTTATGCGCGCTAAGCCGCACGATAACGTTCTGAACAAAACACGCGTCGAATTAGTAAATAAACTCAATTCCCATATTTCCTCATTGGGGCAAAAAAATAATATGTCGCCTAACGCCATGCGGAAAATGAGGAAAAAGATGAAGATAACACAAGAGCAAGCACAATTGTTCTTGACAAATGTATAATTATGTCTCTTAAGCACTTAAGTCGGGCGTACTAACGTCATTGACCGAGCTAGTGCACAGGGAAATACTGGATCAGTAGACAATGTAAGGTTTACAGTAAATGTCTCTTTTCCGGTCAGGTGTATTGGCACATTTATTGTGCATGTGAAATAAACTTAGTGTAAAGCATACAATTTTTTTTGTTTTTACTCATAAAGCCCTTATATACTTAAAAAAGAATATGTTACTTGAAGGTTACGGTTTAAGTTTTATGATACCGATTTCATGTTATTGATTTAACTGGCTGACGGAAAAACTCTTGGTTACATTATATTTAGTTTTTATAGCTTTAAAAATTATCATAGCTGTAAAATTGGTCAGATACGGTAGGTATCCATAAAAAATTAACCACGAAATCTACGTATAGCGTACGCACTGTAAGTTGCGGCATATTATATTGCTCAATGTATTATATTAATATACTTTGGAGTTGCGGTCTGCGCTATAGTCTTGTTGGCACATAAGCTGTCGATAAAATACTTAAAAAGTTATAGCCTATATACATCCCACTGCTGGGCACAGAAAAATTTCTGAGAGATTAATTTCCGCCGCGCTGCCCCAACGAACGAGACAGGGAACTTCACATGTCTTCGAAATATTTTTTTGTTTCTTATTTCTCAGACATGAAGGTTTCCTCAGGATGTTTTCCTTCCGCCGAGCACGTGGTAAGTCACAAAATACTTAGCTCATTAAAAATAGTAATCGAAATGCCTTTCCGACCATTTTATGACTCCAAATGACATTTTATTATTGTCAAAGTGTTTGGTATTTGGTACATCTTTCATGTTGTGAAAGATAATTAAACATTTTAAAATAAAATCAAACGAAATAGAGGTTTAACGCCATCTATTACAACTTCATTAATATTCTTAAAGACATATATTTGTAAGAGCGTAACCAAGGTTGCAAAGAAAGAAAAAGACTCATTTTTCAGAAGTATGATCAACTTGTGTAATGATAAAGATACTATCGGTTCAAATGGATTTGGCTCCCATGTCGGTTAAGACCGTCTAGTGGCGATTTTCCCCAGTTAGTGGTAGAGCGTAGTTATAGATACGAATGCCTGTGTGAATGAATGTGTATACGAATACTAGTTCCTGTAACAACTTAATATTTGTGCCCTAGCTCTCACGAATAAGATTTTACTTCGCGAGATGCTGAATTTGCAGCTCCAGGAGTGCAAAACCTTTGTAAAATCGGTCAAGTGACCGATTTTCCAAAGGTTTAGAGAACCGGAAACAATCGCTCGCAGTTACTCACGAGAGTGTGCTCACGGTGATGACCCTGCGACAAACGAATGAACACAGCAGAATTTCAGTAATAAATAATAAGTCTCACTGGTATCCTTTGAGTACGGAACTCAAAACCTACACATACACTTTATAAGCATACATATAGGTATTTTTAGAAGGGCTTAATAAGACACCAAAGGATGACGATTTCTGTAAAAAGCGAAGACCGGCATATGACGTTTATTACCCTCCAAGACCCAGACGGACTTCCCCGCAACATAATTATGAGGTTATATTATATTAATGAAGAATATACTTATTTGCATAGATCTGTGAAATAATTGAGATTTAAACACATAACTTTTTTGTTAGAACGTGGTACATTTCCAATACAAGGTGCTCACTGTACTAAATATTACTATATTATATATTACTATATAATATATTATAAACTAGTATAATGGTTTTATTGTTCCGCTGATTGTATTGCTATCTTCGTAGTTCTACTGAATTCGTTGTAATACTTGTTGTACCATCTTTCCCGATAGACCGCCTTGGCCTAGTTGACCTTACATAAGTTTTATTGCGTAATCGTAGAAAATTACGTAACTCAGTAATAACATATTTATGCAGCCCAACTAAACGATAAATAAAATAAATTTGTACCCCAACATAAAAATAAATGGATTCTTCCCCTATCTCCCTAACCCTTGGCCGTTTAGTACCGTACTACCGATTAGTGCCGAGGGCTTCCATCTGGTTGGGTGTTTATTTATTTATGTTTCTTTTTATATAACTATTCAGCCAAACCAGGTGAGAATTTTTTTTGCACAACAAAAAATTTATTGTCTATTCCATCATTCATTGTATATTTATACATGACAAAACATAAGTATCTAATATACTAGCCAATTCTATTTATTTGATTATTTATGTTGAGGGTGGTCAAATAAGAAGTTGATCCTTAGGAACAATGCAAAAAATGCGCGCCGCGCGTGTACCTTATTCACTCAAGTATGTAGGAGACCACTTTAATCACATTTTTGGGCTTTGGGCATTTTGGTACGATTCACCCAGTCCTTGGGTAGTAATATTTATAGCCGGCTCTCGAGTCTCCACCAAAACAAAATTGCCAACTTTTGTGTTGTCAACACTTGGTGAGAAAAGTATTTTTGTTGGGTTGGCAACAAAAACTGTTAACAAATGTCGGAAACCGTGTTTCCGTTTTTAGCAGTAAACATTTAAAAAATACGCTTGTTACACATATTTATTCGCTCTATGGGTACGCTTACATTTGGAAACATTAGTTGCCAACATGTTTGTCATGTGGACGAACTAATTAACCGACACGTTAATTGATTTGTATCAAACACAAAGTACCTATGGGATGTTCATACATGGTAGAGCCACGCTGCAGCTATGTTATGGGTCGGCTCGACCGGTGAAGTACCACGCTCTCGCAGAATAGCAGCTTAATGCTGCTGTGTTTCGTGCGATGAGTGTAGAGAACCGGAGACCCATTTTACTGGAATTGAAGCATTCCATCTTAGTCCTCAGGGCTGACAACGCATCTTGATTTGATTTTTAATGCATTTTGATTCTTAATCGAGGTTAAATGTAGATGTCTATGGGCCACAGTATCCGCTTACCATCAGGTGGACTGTGTGCTCATTTGTTACCCTTATTCTATTTAAAAAAATGTAATGTAAATGATGAAAATTTAAAAAAAACAAAAACATGAAAAGGATGCATAGAAAACTAGTTTTCGATGTATCACTATCGTGTTTTAGTTTTTTTTTTTGTAATTTTGATAGCTACCAATGATGCTATAGGGCTACACGAAATTGAAATACAAAGGATAAAAAATTTGATGACAGTTTTTAACATGATAAAAGAATCTGTGTGGACACAATGAAAACAAAAGTTGACAATTTTCTGGAGAGTTACAAACAGTTTCGAAACATAGAAGTTGTCAACAGTTTCGGTAGAAACACGCCGTATGGCAAAGGAAGTCAGATATACTATGTACATAGTACTTTCACTTTTTTTAGTATAGGGGGCAAACCAGTAGGCGGTTCACTTGATGGTGACTACCGCTGTACATGAACAACTGTAACACCAGGGGAATTGCAGGTGCATTGCCGGCCTTATAGAAAGGAGTAAGCTCTTCTCTCTCTCTCTTTTTCTAAATCTCAGGAAGATGGGAAAGTTTACCAGCTGGAAGAAGGTAGCCAGGCAGAGTGACAACTGAAGGAAGGTTGTGGAGGAGGCCAAGACCCACAAAGGGTTGTAGCGCCAACGGAAGAAGAAAAAGCTCTTTTCTAACTCATATCGGTCCGGAAAAATCTCCGGTGTTTAACGATTCCACAAAGAGGTGGTGCGAGGAAGAAAACTTCAGGTAAAACGCTAAGTAAGTAGTGGCCCGCTAAGCATCCAGATGGTTATGTATTGTGAGTTTTGCCGCGATGTGCGTTCGTGAAATTTGGCGGCTGGAATTAATCTGAACAACTTCTTACAGCTTTCCCCGTGGGAGATGCGATAGAAAATGCAAAGGGATGCAACATCCCTCGCAACGCCAGTGAATCGAACCGATGAGAAAGAACTTGGTCGTCAACAATTCGAGCCGCTTTGGATGCGGTAACTTATACGGTTAAATGGTTTCCTTCATACCTATAGGAAAAGTAATTTTTCACAAAATCATTTTTTTAAAGGATTTCTTGAAATACACATTAGACTAGACTGTATGATCTAAGACATTTGCTGATTTAAGGCTTCACCCATCTACGACGTCATCATTACGTCAAACGTCAATCAGATAAAGTTGATAAGAAATTCCACTTGCTACATGTTGACGAATGACGACATATAAACTAAAACAAAGTTTAAATATCAGTAAAAATTTGGTATTATAACATACTATTACAATGAAGTATCTACTAACAATATCAGTGTCACAAATTACAAGCGTATTGTTTATTTTAATGCAGATTCTAAATAATATAACGGCACGAAGGGTAAGAAAAGAATTTTGGTATAAAAATTCTACGTTGTATGAACCCTCTGAAAATAAATTTAATTTTCTGATATTCAGGTCCCTGTGGAAGGCTATTTTCCCAATGGTTTCTATGAGAATCAAGCACAATATATTAAATTTAATGCTGCCTTACAAAAATTAGAACATGGTTTGTAATTGAACAATTAATAAAATTATACATTATATGTATTCGAGAATTTAGGACTTGTGTTAACAATAATAATAACACGGACCAATTGAGTCAACGTCATTTTAATGAAAATATACAATCCATTTTCAAGTACACTATTTGCATTCAATTAAAGCATGAATATTACGTATAAAATATGATTAAGATACAATATCATTTAAAATAAAAATATTATTATTATTATGGGGAAAATTAAACTCTGGGGTGTGTTATATGTTGGGCTAAATAAATATGTAAAAGAAAATGATAATTTACATATATTTTTAAATGAAGCATACTTTAATGATTTCTTCTATAAAATAAATATGCATTAAGAAATAAATAGAACTACAATTAAAAAGTCTTACCTCATTTAATGTCAGCCTGAGTAGCTAGTATACTTATTATTTTATAATTCCATATATTAATTGAAATCATTTAATATTTAGAACCTAAATGGGTTGAGAACTGGCCTGATCCATCTATTAAGATGGGTCAAGTATCTGGAGTGGCCCTGGATAACTCTGGTCTTCTTTTGGTATTTCATCGAGCTTCCAACACATGGGATGCCAGTACATTCAATGAACGGAATGTATACTCAGCTATTGGGGAAGCACCTATACCACATCCCACAATTCTTATATTTAATGATACTGGAGAGCTGGTTGATATGTGGGGACAGAATCTGTAAGTATTATGAAATAATTATACATTTTTAATAGAATAAGGGTGATATAGTGCACACTTATGGTAAGTGGATGCTGTGGCCCATAGACACCTAGATTTATTCTTCATAAATTTTTTAACTCACATTGTATTGGATTTTTTTTTAAATTATTGTGTTGATAAATTAAGCACATCAGCCTAAGTGCAGTCTGCAAACTCTAAAATATAAATTTGCCATTCAACTACTGTTGTTAACTAATCCTAACACAAGCATTTAAAGCTTCATCATCATCATTCATCATTACAGCCCTTCACAAGTCTACTGCTGAACATAGGCCTATTTAAAGCTTACTAGGAGTAAATCAAATAAAACTTATAATTTTTTTTAAATCCTTCAAATTGCAGTTTCCCCCATCTGTATCTCCAAAGGTTACGAGAAAGAAGGATAATTATTATAATTTATATATTCGCATAATTTATTTCTTGTTCTTTCATGCTTAAAGTTGCTACCTAAAGTTGTCTGGGAATTTTCTCTTAATTTGAATTCCAGATATAGTAATAGTGAGTACTTGTAATGTCACTGTGAGCCATCAGCATTTACTTATTTATTTATTTATCTTTTATGGTAACACTCCTTCATCTAAGGGTTACAAATGGTGGACTTAATGCCCAATTGCATTCTTAATCAGTCAAGTTTATTTTCTCTGACTTTATATCCAATTTTCTACAAAGATATATCTTAACTAACATTTAGATTTTAAACAGTATATGACCCTCTACCAGTCTCTCTTAAGATAAGACTTGCGTAATGGCTTGTCAAGCAATTTAATAACCACAGTACTAAGAGCTGCTCTGCTTTAACAATTCTTCCTTAAAAGCTCGAGGCTGCCATATGAGACTAAAACCTGTTACCAAAAGATACTGTTTCGGCGACATCTGTGAATGCATTTAAAAACAAACTCGACTGCTGGTTACAAATTACTAAAACAATGCTTAAAAAGTGAACAAAACATGTGAAAACCAACAATTCCAACACTATGTGATATGATCATATCGAATGCTGTTCGACCATAACAATAATATTAAATAAATAAAATAAAGAAACCATCAGGACATTTTCTTAAAATTAATACTTACCATTTTATCTGTTATCTTCTCAGGGGTTCTTCTAGATTCTTGTTAAGTTGATTGTTACACAGATCGGGATTTGATTTTGATTCTCTTACATGCCCATATAACATTTTAGTATATTTTTAAATATTGATTCAAAGTAAATATTTTTAAAAATAAATAATTTATTACTTTACAACCTTCCGCTAACTTATTACAATGATGTGTCTTACCTGGATTGAAGAGAACCTCCCGCCCTCCCTCAATTGCATGCACCACCCAACACCACTACTCCCGGCACCACTACTTCCAACACCACTATTCCAGGTAAGACACACCATCGACGACAATACGACACGTGTTTCGCCTCTACACGAGGCATCCTCAGGTAATGTAGACTCTACGGCGACTGACCGCTAAGTCAGTAATTTTTAAAAATGCTGCTCTACTTTAAAAGTAAGGAATTTCCATTCCGTTTTCCAGTTTCTACATCCCGCATGGGATCACAGTGGACAGCTCCAGCAATGTGTGGCTGACTGATGTGGCCTTACATCAGGTGTTTAAGTTTACCCCCGGCCAGCGGGACAAACCGGCAATGGTGCTAGGAGAGAAGTAAGTAGTGTGCTTACAATTTTTTATTTACTTATTCATTGTTTTTGTTTTATTTTCTTGAAGATTGATAGTAAAATTGTAGTGATTGAATTACCACTATTAATGTCATTCTAGATTCATCCCCGGTGATGATGAAGAGCACTTCTGCAAGCCAAGTGCAATAGCGGTGATGTCCAGTGGGGAGTTCTTCGTTGCGGATGGTTACTGTAATACAAGGATCATAAAGTTCGCGCCAGATGGCACCAGGATATTACAATGGGGAAGGCGTAAGTGAATACCACATGAATAATACCTTACCACCATCTTATGTTATTATCACAGTTATGTTATACTTTCCACTGTAATTTTAAGACATGATATTGATTGCCCAGATAAAGCTCTCCAGCCACCGTTTTTAAGGGATACTTTTGCATAGCTTAGTCTCGATTTTTGTTTTTTAGTAGAATTTGACTCTTCTTTAAAAATGTTCTCAAAAGGCGCCACCGTCAGCCCTCTGCACAAGACAGTTTTACAATGCCTAAATGTATGCGCAAGCACAGGTTCACTCTCTATTCCCTCACGCTCATAGTCCAACACGACCGGAAGAGATCAGGCACATGAAATACGAGTTTACGTAGTCCCTGTGCCTGATCTCTCTCCGGTCCATGCTTTCCGAGGGGGTGAAATACCGCCAACTTCCTGATTCCGGGCTGCTACTAAAAATATTAAAATATCTCGACAGAAAACCCCTGACCCAGGATTCGAAAACTCATTCAAAAATAATTCAGTAATCGCGTTTACGACCACAAGACCTACGAGGCAGTCAGTCAGCTATACGACTATACATACTACATCATCAGTTAGCTATACATACATCAGTGATTGAGTTTTCTGGTAAGAAATTCTCAGTGGCAGCCCGGAATCAGAAGATGTCGGTGTTTCACACCCGTGCCTCGAAAAGAATGTATAGTCTGTTCACTAAGATAGTGTAGGTACGGAGGTGGACTTATTACTTTATCATTTTTTATTGTTTTTTAAATAAATAAAAATTATAAATAATTGTGGCTATTGTAATAATACCAGCGACCGAATAAATTAATACTAGCGATCCGCCCCGGTTTCGCACGGGTTATTTTTGAATTTCGACAACAGCGCCACCTACCGGGTCCAATTGTGAATCTAAATCATCCGGGTACAAATGTGAATCCAATACATTCAATTACCTACTCAAACGCACACCAAAAATTCCATCAAAATCCCTTGCGTAATTATAACATTTTTTTGCGACTTTCTTTTATACTATGCAGAGAAACATAAGTTATGTAGCAAAGAACCTTTCACTACAGCGCTTCGTCTTATAATGCCAAACTCTCCTATGGGTGTACGCCTCACGCGGTGACCTTTGATGTCTCGGCGGCACCTTTGACAAATACGAAAGTTTAATTTGCGGAGAATGGTAAACAGTAGTGCCTCACGGCGGTACCTCTCTTTACTCTCTACGGCGCACTAGGGCGTCGCGGCGCACACTTTGGGAATCCCTGTGTTACATTATGTGCTTATCGTTAAAACGCTCATGTCATGTTTAATGATTGCTGCAACAAGTTGGTCCTCAATGACACAGGCTACGGCGAGTCGCCGTTCGTACTGAACGTGCCGCACGCGCTAGCGCTTGCGGAGGAGCGCGGCGCGGTGTGCGTGGCGGACCGCGAGCGCGGTCGCGCGGCTTGTTTCCGCGCGGACAACGGCACGTACGTGGCCGCCTACTCGAGCTGGCTCGTCGGCGCGCGCCTCTTCAGTCTCGCGTACGCGCCCGCACATGGTTAGTCGAATCGTTCTCATTTAATACCCCATGAAACAAAAGAGCGACACTAAAAAGAGATAAACATATACACATCTATACGGTTACGGTTTCTTGCTGATTCTTCCCAATACAGAAGCTTTTTGAACCAGTAGTATAATTTTATTCTATTCTTTTGTGTGCGATAACAGCGTATCGTGTGTGTGTGTGTGTGTGTGTGTGTGTGTGAAGGTTGCAGTTCTAAACTACAGTAGCTACTCACCATCAGGTTTACTGTTAGCTCATTTGTCACTCAAATAGGTACAAATGTAAAAAGCTGGCTGTGATGATTAGTTAATGTTGATTTAATACTTTCTTTAAATATCGAATTATACTTACAGGTGGTCGTTTATACGTCGTTAATGGACCGAATGGCGGAGTTCCCGTACGCGGCTACGTACTCGATTACGAATCGGGCCGAATGCTCGCTACGTTCGCACCGCACGACGGTTTTTCCAATCCGCACGACATCGCCGTAACCCCCGACGGTTCGAAGGTCTACGTTCCCGAGCTCAATCCATATAGAGTGTGCAAGTTTGTGGACGAAACACCAAGAAATGGCACGGAGCGAAACACACCGGTCAAGCCGACGGCTACTATTGGTGAGATTAAAATTTGAATTTTGAGTAATTTAAATAAATATCTCCTTTTATCATTAATATTAATAAATAATAATTATATAACTTCCTACCAACAGAAATTGTATTAAATACGAGATTAATTACACAACATATTAAGGTCAGTAGGTACTTTATTTAGAAAAGTGTTATTTTTTTTTTAATTATGAATATTTATTTTTAAATCGTCATGAATAAAAATACATTAATTAAGTTATATATTTATATTTAAAGGCTGTTTAACCAGCCAGAGGCAGCGAATTAAATGAATTATGTATTGAAAACTTTTTTACTTTATATTATAACATGATACCAGATTTAACAAAGAATTCGATAAATTCGATTTAACTTTAATTTTCTTTATTTTTGTGTTGTTCATTCAATATAATAAAATACAGGCTGGGACGTAAGTTTTTGCACTTTTGAAGTTACTATGAAAAAACTATTCTTTATATTTCACAGATATATAGTACGAGGGGTTTTTCAATGTATTCTCAGTATGAATATGTTAGAAAAAAGATAAAATCAGTTTTTTTAATATATTTTCCCATGACATCAATACATTTACTTGTTCGTGAGAAAAGTTTTTCTATTCTCTTGAAAAAATATTCTTCGTCTTGAACTGGAAAATGCTAATTTACTACTTAAGCTCATTATCGTTAGCAAATCGCTTTCCCCGAAGGTCTTTTTTTCTGATCCCTTTTTACGCCATCGCATAGACTCCTGTCTATTATTAGGATCATAGTAGTGAAACCATGTATCGTCTTCTGTAACTATCCTATCGAAAACACTTTTTGGGTTGTGACCACATAGCTCTAAAAACTCCCTACAACAGTCAACCCGCACCTGCTTTTGAAGCACTTGTGAGGTTGAGATAGTCATGCAATATGGTGAGTATCAACGGATAGTAAGTCATATCTGCTAACATCATAATTCTTACTCGTGCATATTCTAATACTAGTTTTTCAATAATTTTCTTCTGTAGCCGCTGTGATTGGCCCACCCCGGGAGGGGGTCATGTTCTTGTTCATGCTTTTCCTGCCTCTTTTGAATTCACTTGACCACTCCAAACACGTTTGTACTGTACGGTTGACATTGAAGGAGCAGAGCAAGACATCATGATCATGGATGTTTTATTTTTTCCATGTTTAGTGAAGAATTTAATCACCGCACGGTGTTCGATTTTCTTCAACATTGTTGAGTCAGTCATTCCCGTCGTTTACGACTGAAGGTTACATAAGAAGTAATGAAGTTATCAAGACGAAATTTTACAACATTTTACTCGGTATTCAAATAAATGTTTATTTAAAATTAAGAATATAAAAGGTAAAATTATTTCTTAAAAGTAATATCGTCCTACTTGACCTGGCGCTATCTCTTCGCTGGCATTCCAGAAACCGGGCCGTTTGATTTTCGAAAATTCTAGACAGAGCGAGAGCGCTGGATGCTACCCATTTCTTGTCCAATATTATCCTTTAATTGGGGTATTGTTCTTTGTTTATTCACTTAGACTCGACTTTTAAGATGACACCATTGAAAGAAATCAGCTGAAGTAAGTCTGGGCTACGGGGAGATCATGTAATATCACCTCTGCGCGAGATCAGTTTTTTAGGGAACAGTTCTTTAACCACGGGTAAACTCGTTGGATGTATGGCAGATAGCGCCATCTTGCTACGTCCATGTCATACTGTTGTAACGTTCGAAATGCTGTAACTGTGGTTGAAAAAAATATCTCGTAGCATTTTCACATGTTCTGCAGAGTTAACAGTCGAAGAAATACGAGCCAATTATGACCTTTGAAGACATTGCCGTCTTTGATGTTTTAGTTTAGGGTTTTCTCTACTTCAGAATCTGCAATTTTGTTTATTTAAATGGAAATGGACTTCGAAAATAAAATGTTATTGAAGCTAAACCGCTCAAACATCATATCGACGAATCTTTTTAAAATTTTTTATTATATGTCATGTAATACAGCCTACTGAACTTAAACTCTGAAAGCTCGACAAAAATTCATCAGTAGAATAAAATGAATGTTCAATTAGAAAGTGGAATGATTTATTTTTGAAAATCTGTATAACGTTACACTCGGGATCTTATTGTATTATATATCGTATTGTATATCTTTGGAGCCATAGCAAACACACTTTTCCCATTGAAGCTAGTTTTATATTTTCTAGCTAGTTTATTATACAATCTGCTTCTATTGCGAAATCTATGAACTACGACAGTTACTGTTAGCAGACAAATACGAAATAAAGTTACATACTTACCTGAAATAAAATCTCGTTGTGAATCACAAAATCAGTGTATGATAGTCGAAAACAATGTTCGCTGTTCACAAATCAAAGAACGAGTCTTCTCAAGCAAACACGACGAATTTAGCGTAACTTAGTGTGTATTGTATTAAAGCCGCAGAGAAATACATAGAAGTTTTCTTTAAAGAACAAGAGTGATAAACGAGCACACTAGTCATACGAGTCCACCTGATGGTATGTGGGTGCTGTAGCCGGTAGACATCTACATCTATATCTATATTCAATTACGAATCAAAATGCAGATGCGTTGTGTACCACTCAGGACTAGGATGGAATGCTTTATAATCACTGACTTAGAAGTATATGGACTGGGCATAATTAGCGTGACTACCTACAAAAATCTGGCGCATAAAATGGCCGCCTTTTATAAGGTTGTAATTCAGTAATATGCGCAGCTGATATCGATGTTTTAACTAATATGAATATTTTCTCATTTTATATAATTGGATTTGTTGCTTAATTTACTTTATTCCGTAGGTATTTACATAGATACAGGGCTGAATTTTCAATCGTCAAATAACTTATCTGAGGATTAAATGTGACTGACAGATTTATGGCATGTGTGTAGATAGAAATTAAATTCTTCTTTCAGGTATAAATAATTACTGGGAAGGAGATCCTTGATTCCATATTATAGTATTTTTAATACGAAATAATAATGATTAGTTGAGTAAAAATGAAATAAACTATTTTAAAAATCGGTACTTATTTATTATTAATTGTTCTGCTCATAATTCATCACAACTAGTAAGTTTTACGAGCAAGTTATATTTTAATTAGTTATTCAGATTTTAAATGAAAATTATTATTTTTTCGCAAAATTCGAAAATCTGGCATGATCATGAAATGGTTAATTAAAAAATGCATTCCTACCATTATTCTTGAAATAAGTTGTAAGACCACTTATTTGCTTTGATATATGCTGAAAAAGTTACAATATTATAAGTGAATAGTGACACAATCTAACTACTTCATTCATTGAATTACTGTCAAAATATAAAAGTATTTATAACACGTGACGTGATGAAATTATGCTTCACAAAATTATTTTAATTTAAAAATCAATTGCCGTACGTTAGTTTTGCAAAAACTCAGAAATGCCTCTCAATTAAGAGTTACAATCAAATAAATTTTACGTGGTGGTTAGGGTCATCTAGTAACATAATAAAATATACATAGAAGAAAAATACCTACTATAGGAGAAGATGAGGGCACTGCACTACACAACAAAAAAACTTTTAGCACGCAACATTTTGACAGCAGATCTACCACAAAACTCGGCGCTTAAAATGGCGATGCAGTCACGTATGGATGAGCTAATGACGTCACACAAAAGTGTTGTCAAAATAAGCAATTGGCAAACTGTAGTTGTAGAAAAAGGATTTCCTAATGAAGCTACTGCTTTGTTAAAAAGAAATAAAACTGTTTTTGACAAGTGTGTGTCGATATTATACATATTTGTATAACTATTATTTATATAGTAGAATATGGCGTTATTAGGTATTATATATCTCTATGTTCATAATATCCAGTAAAAAGGGTCTCTGGTTCTCTACACTCATCATACGACACATTGTAGTATTAAGGTGTTATTTACGCTGGTATTCTGTGAGAGCGCGGTTCTTCCCCGTTCAAGTCGACCCATTCGTTACAACTATATAGCTGCAGTATAGTTCTACCCACATAAAACTAGTGCGCAATTTTAAAGGCCGTAGAGTCCGACTTGCAATATACATAGAAGTTTTTGCTTTAAACGAGCGTCCGTGGTGTGGGGTGTGTCAGCAGAGTCGGTCGGGCCGGTGGTGGACGGGGCCGTGGGAGTGGGCGTGGGACTGGGTGCGGGCGTGCAGGCAGGCGCGTGGGGAGCGCTGTGGGGCGCGCTGGGCGCCGTCCTGCTGGCGCTGGGTGCGCTGGCGTTGCTGCGCGCGCGCAACCGCGGTAAGGACTTCGAGGACGAACCGCTCGTGCACTAGCATTACACTGTGCGCCTCGTACAATACAAACGTATACCTGTATAAACTGTGGAAATCTATTTCACCCCGTCGGGGGTTGAATTCCTCCACACCGAAATTCGGCACGGAGCAGCGACCAGTCTCATCGGAGTCTAGCCATCTGTTCAGGACAGAATTGTAGTGTCCAAGTTAGGAATGCCAAATCTAAAAACCAAAATATCTGGACAACCATTTAAAATATCGGGAATTTGGTGTTGTTGCCGGGAGAAATAAATATTAAAAATAAAAATGTAAAACAAAGTTGTTTTTTAATTATTAGGCTTAACATTGTTGACATATAACTAATTTAAATACACTTAATGATTAGATTGCCACGTGTATTTGGCATTGAACTTTACTGAGTCCACCAATTTGGATCCTTTACTAGTATTCAGAAAAGATTTAAAACTCAATTTGCCTCAAAGTTCAGTCTAATTACTAACTAAGCTTTTATTAAATTAATGGCAGCTGTGATGTGAAGTGAAGTTGTTTGTCTGGAGATTTTGAGTTTGGTCGGGAGTCTGGAGATCATTTAAAATGTCGGAAGAATTCAGACGAATCCCGACCATCTGGCAACCCTAGCCCAAGTGTATGCGCAAGCAAGATAGCAAGGCAGTGGCGTAGCCAGAGAAGCGTTACTACAGATTTTCATAACGTAACATCTTCAATTAAAAAATAAAATCCTAGGATTTCAACAGGCGATTTATCAAGAAGAATTCGAAGTTAGAAATAAACAAAAATTAAAAAAAAGTATTGAAACGTAATAGCGAGCAAAATTTAAAAATGTTTTTTAAGTAGCTAACTACATAATATTATTATAAACATAAGTACTACTTGTCATAACTATTAAAACATTACAACGAATTTGTGATAACAGTATTTATATAAACTACTTAGACTTATATAGTTACGGAAGAAATTAAACTTTTAAATGGTCGTTGATCGAACTTATTTATTTTAATCGCATCACGAATTGCTAATTATTTATAAGAATATTTTTGAGGTCATTAGACTTTGTAACATTAATTAATTAATAATATCTCTTATGATTATTACTTTAAATACAACAGATTTAAAAATCTGAAGAACATTCAGATTCTTTACAAATAATATATTATTTCGTTTATTTTAATTATTTTTACAATCTTCGAAAGATCTGTTTATTATATTAATTTTTTGTAACTAAGGTCAAAGACTGGAAATAAAATCTTATTTTCACCACGTATTTGTTTTAAATAAGTATATTTCATTGTTTAAAACAATTGTCTACGCAAAAGCGAAAGGAATCGGATCTATGATAATATAATATGATAATTTTAAGAAAATATTACGAATTATGAATTTGTGCATAATTTTAAGCTTTAAACAGGCAGGTGAGGTATAATCTAAATTCTAACTGTTTATTATTTTTGTATTTTTTTGCACTACTTTTTTAAGTTCCTGTGTTATTGTGACTATTGTAAGAATTATTTTATTGAAATATATTCGTTAAAGCTGCTTTCTGTGTATTTATTTTTTTCACTCTTTTATAGCACATTTTGTACCGTAAAGTTAAGTTTGAAATAATCTACACGCACCTTTTTAGTTTTATTATTTTGGTAATGGCTTGCTTTTTAGTAACTTGTATCATACAGGTAAGGGAGGAAGGTTACGAGTATAAATTTCACGGTACTCGAGCAATTCAGGTTCGATCGCCAAGGCCTCAATTATTACATAATTGAAATTTTAGGGTGCTCGACGGTGAAGCAAAACATCGTGAGGAAACCGGCATGAAACAGAAACAGACACTTTTTTATTCAATTTAGATTATAAATAATATTCATGAAGAGTTCCTATACTATTATTTGTTCTGTCTTAAAAGTATTTTTTTATTTACCACTGGTTCGGACACTTTACTTTTAAAAACTAAAACTTAAAAAAAAATAACAGCTTACATCAATGTATGTTACAATTAACAACACAAGACAAATTAGAAATACCATGTCTGAGGAATACAATATTTCGAGGACATGTAAAGTTCACCAAGACCTCAGATATTTATTTATTTAAGTACACCAACGATTGTTGCAACAATGCAGAAATAGTGAGCACATATCAACTTAGATACTAATTGCACAATCAATTAAAAGTATACATAAAATACAAAAACTTATGATAGAGCAAAGTAATATGTGTATAAAACAATGACTTAAACTTAGATACTTAAATAATGTATCGTTTACTGTGGCCTTAAACTTAACTATAACATGAACATCTATTGACCCAACGCACTTATTATATAGTTGGGGAATCCTGGAGACCGGTGAATTGGCTCCCAGAACTGTTTTGTGAAACGGACGAAAGAGAGGTTTAATGGGGTTACGAGGCATTCGTGGCGGAACTTTAAAATTGAATTTCATTAGGAGTGCAGGACAACGCAACTGATATCTTATTATCTTGAAAAAGAAGGATAGGTCAAGTAAATCCCTGCGGTTGTCCAAGCTCTGCATCCTTAGGAACTCCAGTAGGTCCTTGTAGGGGCTCAATCTTATATGCCAGAAGTGTGAGAACACCAAGTGTTTAACTGATCGTTTTTGAATACGTTCAATACGACGTATGTGAGTGGCATAATGTGGATGTCAGATCACACTTCCATACTCAAGGATCGATCTGACGAAGCTATTGTATAGCGCAATTTTTGTGGAAGGTCGTTTGAATATTCTAGCGCTCCTTATAATAATAAAACTCAACACCTTGGACGCCTTTCCTATGATGTAGTCACTATGTGGGACAAATGTCAATTTACTGTCCATAAGCACCCCCAGATCCCTAACTACTGTCTTATCTTCCAATCGAATCCCATTAATGCTGTAGATGGATGAAATAGGATTCAATTTTCTTGTGAATTTAATGTGAACACATTTATTGATATTGAGCACCATTCCATTCGTCTGACACCACTTCATTAGCGCGTCAAGATCTTTTTGTAAACGCAAAACATCCTTTTGTGTTTCAATGACTTTCCACAGTTTTAGGTAATCTGCAAATATCCATGGAGACGAGTATTTTATGTAATTAGATAGATCGTTTACAAAGATATTAAAGAGAATAGGGCCTAGGTGAGAACCTTGCGGAACACCAGAAGTAATATCGCGTAACTCTGATCTGAAACCATTACTATTACTATTTAACCACTACATAGAAAGAGCGTCCAGATAGATAAGATTCGACCAAGCTAGCGTAGACAAGAGTGTATATACGGAAACAAGCTAGAACAGACCCCCCTATTCCGTATGCTGATAATTTTACCAGAAGCTGTCGATGGACTACTCTATCAAAAGCTTTGCTAAAATCTGTATATAACGCGTCTACTTGTTTATAGTCATCAATACGACTAACAATGTTCTCAATATACGTAAGTAGATTAGTATTAGTAGACCTACCTTTTGTGAAGCCGTGTTGGTTGTCGTTTAAATATTTGTCGAAGTAGGCTTGAAAAATAGGGCAAAGTAGAGATCTTAGCAATACGAGGACGGCACTGAAATTTTCGGGAATCAAGGAAGTGACACAACATTACTATTTAAAAACGTATTTATTGCTTTTCGAAGTATTCTCCGCGAAATTTGACACATTTTTCCATACGAATTATTGAAGCAACCATTCCATTCGGAAGTTGGGGTCTCCAAAATGGCCGTTTTGTAGGCGTCCACAGCTTCTTCAGGTGATGAAAATCTCTGTCCACGCAATTTATTCTTTATTTTAGGGAAAGTATAGAAATCATTAGGGCTTAGGTCGGGTCTGTACGGCGGATGGTCTAATAATTCTATGTTTTCTTGCTCTAAAAACTCTTTTGTTCTGTGTGCGGTGTGAGAACTCGCATTGTCGTGATGGAGGTTGATGCGGCGGTTGCACTTCTCTTTACGGAGTTCAGAAACGACCTGTGGCAAACAAATGCTAGCATACCATTCTGCATTAACCGTTCTTTATCCCTCAAGAGGAATAGTCGTAACTTGGCCGGTTTTGGAGACAAACGTGGCCACCATTTTTTTTGCAACACTCCGTGAACGAACAATTTTTGTTGGCTTTAACTCATTTTCGAACACCCAAACTCGTGACTGGTTTTTTGTTTCGGGTTCGTGCGCGTATATCCAGGATTCGTCACCTGATACGATGTTGTATACAGCATTTGAGGATCCTGCGTGGAATCTTTCGAGAGTTCTGACGCACCAAGTAACGCCAGACGCTTTTTGCTCTTCACAGAGCGAATGCGGTATCCATCGGGAAAGCAACTTTTTTACACCTAATTGTTCATGCAAAATTATTTGTATTTGACTCATGCCAATGTCTAAAGTTGCTTGAATTTTACGGTATGTCACATGTCGATCTTCCTCAATCAGCTTACGCACAGCATCAACGTTTTCTTGGGTGACTGCAGTTTTTAGACGACCTTGACGGGGATCATCACTGAGCTTGACACATCCACGTTGAAATTCAGAAAACCAGCGATAAATTGTGGTATTGGATGGGGCTTCATCACCAAATGCAGAAATCATCCGGTGAACACACTGTTTTTGTGTTAAACCACTTCGAAAGTCATAAAAAATCATCGCTCTTGAATTTTCTCGAGTCAATTCCATTTTCTCAACGACTAAACAAGTTTGACAAAACCTTGTAAAAAGACCGAGAATCTTTTTTTTAAATAAATAAATGGTATTCGATTTTTAAAACCAAGGAGTTTTCAATTAAAAAGATTTTAATATGACAGGAACAGTGGAAATATTTCATTCCCGATACTTTTAGTGCAGCCTAGGTACGTGAACAGTTGACAATATCTTCGCTTTTAACATTACACTTGAGTACAGTACCCAATTGAGTTACCACTTGCAATAAGTTTTCATTTTTCTTCTCAGGGATGCACTGAATTTCTACATTCATAGCTCGTGCGTTCTGTTCAAGGGTATTAATTCGCGCATTGTGGTCCCTAATATTGGTCTTTAGAGCACTGTTTTCTTTTTGGAAATCAAACATCGCCTGTTTAGTTTCTTTGTAGTCTTTGATCAACAATTCGTATTTGGAATTCATGAAGTCCAAAGAGCTTCTCATTTCCAGCATCTCCACCTTAACTGACTTTAGTTCAGAACTAATGAAAATAGTTAGGGAATCGATTTTAGATGTAATGCTTTTACAATACTCCTGCATAATGTCTCTAACGTCATTAGTCGACGCTCCTGTTATTGGAGGCGACTGCAGTGCCTGTTATTTAGAAGACCGTACAGTGACATTAGGATTAAGCCGCACCGGCGTATTGTCGTTATTTCCAATTTTGGGTCGTAGGCTGGTACACAGAGGACATTCCCATGTGGAGAATTTACTAGCTTTTATTACAGTGGGAGATCTGAGACAGGCCGTATGAAACTTTTATGAGCATTTTAAAAACTGAACGTAGTCTTCTGTGTCAGGGTTATCCCCGCAGCATCCCCAATCATGGTTGTCGGTAGACAGTATATTATTGTTTGTCACTGAAATTTGTTACAAAACACACTTTACTACAAATTTGCGGAATGCAAATTCGTAGGCGTTAATCGTACTAGCTCTTGATTTTTTTTAATAAATTTTATTTAACTTCCGATACTACTAAAAAGTTGATTCAAAATAATTAAAGAAATTTGTCAGTAAAAAAAAAACACCAACTAAAATTAGATCACAGGTTTGAACCTGAGTTTAGCAATTCGTCCTTAGAAGCAGACATTCACCCGGAGAGACGCATAGGTACTCGTTTTTGTTGTTTACACAAATCATTCACTTGTACACAAACCACCGACACCTTATAATTACCCGCAGATTTGGTAATGTTGAAATAGTTTTTGCAAGATTACTCCACGGCACTAGAAGAGTTAAGCAAGATTTTTGCTATGAAATAGGTTTTAATTTCGCACATATCAAATATTGAAGATTTTGCACTTGAATATATACGACTTATTGCCGAAGGTAAATGAGTACGTGTTTAATAAATGTAAAAATTATCCTATAGGTTGTGAAACGAAAACAGAAGCAGAAACACTTTTTATCCAATATAGATTATAAAGAATACTTAATGAAAGTTACTATTTTGTTTATTTACCACTGATTCCGAAAAAACCTCTCTCTAGGGAAGAACCAACAAGAAAACCAGCGGTACTTTAAGAAAAAAAACAGCTTACAATCATGTACGTTACAATTAACAACACAAAGGTAGCGATCACCTCATTTCCAGACGTTATTACCATCCATAAATTCTTTAATATTATAACAACCCTTTTTACAGAAGCTTAGTTTAATAAAGTTTTTGAACTTTGGGCTGGTTAAAAAATTAATGCCTTTTTTCAAAAAATAAATTTGTTTATTTCCTTGTATAATTTAATTTTTTTTATTATTTTTTGATAAAATAAAAAAAAATTATTTAAAAAAAATCGTTAAAATTTTTTCTTAACCATTTCAGTGTCCCGTGAAATAAAAACATTTCGATTGTTGAATAGTCATAAGATTTAAAACAGGTTACTTAAATTAAAATGGATGTAACGCCATTTATCGATGGCCAGAGAGTCACCACCACACATTGGAAGGGTCAGTATAAGTGGCAGCACGAAAGTACAGCGGTGACCGTTATTGCGCATACTCGTCGAAAAGTCGAAATAAAGTATCATAAAATTAAAGTATCATAAAAATAAAGTATCGGGTTGTAAGCTGGTCGCGGGGCGGGCGTGCGTATCGTTCGTACACGCTGATTAGCTCTTCAGTCGCATTCCATCCCCCGTACTGATACTACATGCAAAGTTATCCCCTCCATGTTTCGTTCAGCGCTAGACTTACGTGCCGCGACTTTTAGATTGGAACGGAACGATAGAGACTGAACTCGAGTAGTTCTAGTACTATGAAATTGCCGTAATACCAACCAAATTCCGAAAATACAACAATGTAGGCAAATATATAAGAGGATGATACGGACTTCCAGACAGAAAAAAATCCTACAACCTCATAAATGACTTTTAACCAAAAAAGTAGATTACACCCTCGAGCAATAAGATGTCATACTTTAATTTAATTCTAGGCAAGCTTGATCATCCAATTTACCTGCCTCTATTTCACAACAAACTGGAACACAGATGTATACGCATTTTTATTTAGCAGCAGTAATAGGTAACGGACCTAATCTAGTAAGATGTTGATGTACTCGTATATCCAAAAACTTACAAAATGGAATCACTTCTTGCCTAGCCTTCTGAGAAATCGGCACTGTGTGAATGTATGCTTCACAATACCTGATACTAAGTAGTTTTTTTTTATAGGATAGCGTGACAAACGAGCACACAGTCCACCTGATGGTAAGAGGTTGCTGTAGCCCATAGACATCTACATCTATCCTCGATTACGAATCAAAATGCAGATGCGTTGTCACCCGTGAGGACTAAGATGGAATGCCTCGTTTTCATTAAAAAGGGTCTCCGGTTCTCTACACTCACCATACGAAACACAGCAGCATTGAGCTACTATTTTACGCTGGTATTCTGTGAGAGCGTGGTCCTACCCCGGTCGAGCCGACCCATTCGTGCTACAACTATACTTCTAATATAACTGCAGCATGGCTCTAAGACGTATAAAAAAAAGTAATGTCGCTTAGTGACGTCGTAAGAATATATACTATCCCATTGGTGTTGCGAGATAGAGATATACTATTATATATCTTAGTCATCTACAATTCTACAATATCAGTAACAATATAAAATGTCCCATGATATTTTTCATATATGAGAGTGGTTCAAAACAGAAAAGATTATTAATTATAAATAGCATAATTTATACATCTTGCCCCATTTTAAGTGAAGCCTAAAATTATGCCTTTACTATACAGTATATGTATGATAATTGATAAATCGTTATAGTTTATGCGCCAGCATTTGAGGTAGAAGTTGACTTTCATGCATACAGAAAATTCAAATAGTGTTGTGTTTTCGTTTTGTATTGGTGACAGAGAAAAACTGACAGAAGATGGGCAGTATAACCATCCCGATATCAACCGATGGTAATAAAAAAACTGCGGTTGCCAGCGTGGCAATTGTGGCTAAATCCCCTACGAGGCAATCATGAGAATGGCCCATGTTCAGCAGTAAACTTTTAGGTTATAATGAATAAATGAAATGCGGAAATCTGTCCATAGATTGCAGAAATATCGACAAAGTAATTGTCTCTTCGCAGGTCGAAAATGCGTGACACGACGCCGCTGGGAGTACGGGCGCAGTGAATTCAAACTGCGTCGGCTACTCGAAAGACGGCGCTTCACGCGCGTTCACTCTGACGACTCTGAGGACGAACCGGCGCCCATGTTGCCGCCCACGCAACCGTCCGCCAACGCATGATGTCACGTCTCAAGCCAACTTTATACATCTTAAGCACGTATACGCAAAATAACATCCAACGCCTCACTAGTGGCACCCCACCTCTCTTTTGAGAGGATCACAACCACCTATACAAGACACCTATATATACGGTTACGGCACGCATCTACTTGCCATAGGTACAATAGAAAAAATCCAATATCTTCCGACACAAGTGTAGTAATCGAATTAAATAATATATAGGTATCTCGTTTATTATTTGTAGGGGTTGAAGAACAACATTCCAATACAAGAAGTCCAAAACAGATCTAAAAATCAATCAATCTAAAGTAACTGACCTAAAAATCAATCTAAAGTAACTGACCTAAAATCTATTCCCAAATTATAAAATAATTAAAAATTTACTAATGGTGAATTCTCTTCTTTTAGACTGCAAATCTTCTGATATTTCATAAAAAGACATTTAAATACTTATAGTATACGAGTTTAAATCTCTCATGTTAAATATTCCCAATGACCGCTTTATAAACTTTTAAATACTTTGATTGTACACAACTCTTTAAAAATATTCTTATTTCTCAGATTGCTGATTCAGCTTTAAAAAATAATGTCAAAGCAGCATCATTAATATGTATACTTTGGAGGAATCACTAAATACATACGGAACGAAATAGGACGAGGGATCTAGTATAGTTAAATCTCAGAACTATAGGTCCATTTCCTCGTTGTTGTTCCCGTGACCGAGTTGATTGGAAGAATTCTGTAAAGGTTTTAAATTAAAACAAAAAGAACATTGCTTTAGAATATAATCAAAAAATGAAATATTAAGTATGCCCATGATATTTTTTCAATATTCTTTCAAAAAGCAATCTTTTTTAAATACTGCTGAGTAAAGGCATGTTGTCACGAGACCGTTATAGAGATTTTTTGAGATATCTTGTTTGATTATTAATTTTTCTTAGTGTTAGATAAAATACATAATACGCGGTCCTTCCACAACTCTAACTAATAAATATAAACTTTTAAATATTTCTATAAATGTCTGTATAACGTACATACACCATTTATAATTTTTCCTTTTTAATGCGTTCGATCTTCCAAAATATTTTTTGAAGTGTGCGTGAAAAATGAGCACACAGTCCACATGGTTACTGAATGTTGTGGCGGAAATACATCTACATCTATCCTCGAGTAGGAATCAACATGCTTAGATGGAACAACTCGTTACCAGTACAAAGGTGTTTTCGTCATTCATCATAAGCAACAAAGTACCATTATACTACTATTTGACGATGTTATTGTGTGGTGTTGTTGACCTGTGCCGGTCAAACCGACCCATTCGTGCTACGCATGGGTCTACCACGTAAATAAAATACGTATATAGTATACGTACTTATAAATATATATATACTTTTCTTTAAGACATACTTTCAATAAGAATTTCTTTTAATCTATCCATGTCCACTTCTGAACATAGGGTTCCTCCAAGGAACGCCACAAAGCACGGTTCTGAGCCACCTGCATACATCGACTTCCTGCGTCTGGTACTACGTCATCACTACTTTTAATGAACGCCGCCTTACACTTTTCTTACCGGTGCGAAGTTGACTTGAAGAGTTGATTATTGCCAATTCAGCTTACAGATCCGTCGCTCTGGTTTTATTGCGGATATCTTTTTTAACGAAGTCTATCACCGAAGAGAAATTTCGAGCATAGACCTTTCCATAGCTCACTTAATGACCTTGAGCTTTCTCATACCATGAAGGACCACGTCCCAGATCCACATCATCACTGTTATGTAATTGATTGACGTATAAAATTAAATTATTCAAACTGATATTCTGAGTTATTATTCAATAATTATATTTAATATAGTAGCTGTTCCCCGCGACTTCGCCCGCGTTTAATTTAGGGATTTTTTTGCGCGGAACCCTATCACTTTTTCTAAAATAAAAGTAACCTAAGTTATTCCTTATAACATCAGCTGTGTACTAGTGAAATTTCCGTCAAAATCGGTCCAGCCATTTCAGAGATTAGCCGGAACAAACTGACAAACACAAATTTTTTAAAAATTGTGTTTTTGTTATAAGTACCGTATATACCTTCAAATGAATGGAGTAAACAGCTGTTATTTTGACATTATAAACAGACGCTTCAATTTTATTTATTTGTATATTATAGATTATATTATAACTATATTTAAAAAAACACTCGTGTATATCCACGATTTTATTGAAATTATTAAACAGTTACATTAAGCTTGAAACACTACTTTCTTCTGCCGATTATTATATGATTCCGAGGAGATACTTTCGGATCGAACACAGGACGAATCTCGCAGGAAAGACCTGCAACCAATGAATAAAGTTATAAAGTAGTAATTGAATTAATAATGGTGACCTATTTAGACCACTGCGACATCTTCTGGTCGACAAACAAAAACTGTTAGCTGAGCAGAATTCTAAATAGTGTTAAAAATGTTTTATATAATGCTTTTATACAATATCTGTTACACCATCTGACGCACTGCCAAAATCACTTACAATAGAAAACCAATATTTATGCCAAATATAAGTAAAACATATAAATTTGTTAATGATCAGGATTCGAATCGAGACCAAGTAGTCCGATTAAATGAATAATAAGTTAGACATCATAAACGCAAGAACGTGTTTTTTTTGGTGGATTTATAAAAAGAGGTGATAAAAACAAATCAATAACTGGGCCTAGTTATGGAAGAAGGCTACTCTTGAGACCCCACCCTACAAAAAGCTACTTTTGCGATATTGACACAGTTTGTATCGATACAATAAATTACATAAAGGCGCCTGTTTCGATTTGTCATCGACAAACGACTATTGATATATACAATATGTAACAAGTTTATTTATAAAAAATAATATACCACGTTTTTAAAATAATAAGAATTTTATACTTTTTAGTCCGTTTTTAAGCCAATGCTTAAAATTTAGCAGTTTTTTTAAAAGCTGACAACACCGTCGTCGGCGACGGTATCTTTTGAACTTGTATTGTTTCCCAACAGCTAGCCGCATTTATGCCATTTAAGTTTTTCTTTTCTGTTAAATTCCGCTTTATTTTTTATAGGCAAATTTTTTAAAATTAATTGTCTGTGAAGGGGGTTACACGAATAGAATCATATCACGATACCTAAAATCACGCTCACAGTTTTTTAATACTGTAAAAGCGATCCGCCCCGGCTTCACTCGGGATTTCGACACAACAGCGCCACCTCCGGGTTCAATAGTGAATGTAAACCATTCTCAACTAGTATTAACTTAATCGCACGCACCTAGTTTATTAAAAGTCAAGTGAAATTAAAATCGTTTAAGAGAATTGTGAAGCCGTAAATTTTCATACAAACATAGTCTAATTTTCGTAATTTTTGAAAATGTTGTAGATATAATAAAAACTAGGTCCGTACGTTTTTATTTTAAAGAAATATTGCGTACACATAGTACGCAATTTACTATATTTTTGACTTAAAAACTTCCTCGAGTGTTTTATTTTTTATATTGTAATATTTATTCTATAAAGAAAAACGTACATAAAATCTCGTACATGTACTGAATCGAAGGAGCCCAAAATTGTCTCATTTCGTAAAGGTTTATACAATGAAATGCAAGACGCGTCTCTTTCGCACGACACGGCAATACGGAGCCAGCGGTATCAAACATAGCATTACTACACAATACAACTAGAAAAAAAAATTAAAATATAAAATACACATCTAATACAAATCTCTAAGAATTTTTTTTTATAGAATAAAAAATAGAAAGAGATAATGTGTAAGATCAGATATTCCCAGTCCTTTTTCTTTATTAGATAAACGTTTTCTGCAGAGTAACACCTAATATTGCAAAAATTGTACAAAGTGCCAAAGATAACAATCTAGTTCTAATAGTAGATAAGTTATATCCCTGTTTTTGCTTATGTTAAACGAAACTCAATCCGTCTTTTTACAAAAAGTAGTTTAACAGTTTAAAATAAGACTAGAATCTGTTTCACGAAAGAAGTCTCGCGGAAATAAACGAACCAAATTATAAAGTAGGGAACTATGTCAAATTTTGGGATTTTAAAGGCTTAATTATCATTAAACTATTTTTTGTAATAAGACGCAATGTTTTCTTGTGTGAAGCTGTGTTGGTAAATACAATAATTATTTGTTATTGTATTTTATTTGATTAATGTAATAATTTTTATTTTAATAAATCTATTTGTCAAACGTTTATAAAGTTTGTTTATTACAAAGTACCCGCCCCGGCTTCGCCTGACATCTATTATTGTGACATATTTTATCAATTTTCCGTTTTTTTTTTAAAAACTCAAAAGTTTTTTTGGAATCTGCTGGTGAAGTTCATTACAGTCGATGCAGCCGTTCTCAAGATTAGCCCGGACAGACAATTTTTTTTTAAATAGCTATTAACACTTATCTAATGGAATGCAAATAACCCCCCTTAGTTCAATATAACGCAGTCATTTCGGTATTACAACAGACAAACATTCTATTTTATTGATATGTATAGATAAATATAAATTCAATAGTACTAAATACAATTTTAGTTAGAATTAGATGATGGGTGTTATAACTTAATTGAGGTCTATTGTTTTGTATTGCAAACTATTAAAGAGACTTGAGAGATGACTTAATAAATAATCCACCTAAAATATAAACTGGTAATAAATATAAGCATATGTGACATTAAGCGAAATCATAAGCCCAATTAACATTTGGGCTGTTTTAATGCAGCTGAATGAAAAACGACCAAAACTTTTTAATTTAGTTCTTTTTTAAGCACTGTGGCACCAACAAACGGTTCGTGATATGGCGTTAACAGTTAGTGAAATCTCAACTAAAGCGATTTAATAAAAACAATAATTTAGTTAACACAATAAAATAGTTTACCAATTTCGACGAACAGTATTTTAATTGGATGAAGAACAACCGGATATCCGTAACATGTTTAATGCATTACAAATGTATAAATTATTTGCTGCCATCT